CGAGGCCTCCAGCCCCCGACCCTAAACACACACACACACACACACACACACACACACACACACACACACACACACACACACACACACACACAAAAGCACACATCAAGAGATCAGCAGCTGCGAGCCGAGAGGTCGTTTGAGCAGCCATCTTTTTAAAAATACTGGCGAGTTGACGCCTCGGTCCGCTTTGCCGCCCGGCCGGGCCCCAGCCCCAGCGCCCCAGCGCCACCCCGGCAATGCGACCGCAGAGCCCACAGCAGCGCCGGACTCTGGGCGGTGGCACGCGGAGCGGAGGGGGAGAGGGAGAGCGACAACACCCGACTTTGCCAGACCTGCACGGTTCGTTTGCCAGCGCGTCCCTCAAAGACAAGAGAAGCGACCGGGAACGGGACGGAACGGGAAAGGAAGGGGTGGACGAGGTCCTTTACTTATTGTGCAGCCCGCGCGTCTCGGAAGGGCTGCCGCTGCCGGGCGGGGGCGGCGGGGTCGGCGGGGGCGGCGGCCTAGGGGTTCAAACAGAATCGAGGGCGGAATGACTCGGGCTGTTCACGATGGCGACGACGTCAACGAACGACCGGGGTTCACGTTTCACGTTCCCGACACTTTCGCTTTGCCAAGTACTCGGCCAAACGCGCACACAAGGGCGAGTTGTGTTGTGCTAAGAGAGTCCAAATTAGCCGCAATGTGTTGGGTGATACGTGCACGGGCCCGCGGCGGCGGAGGTCACCACCACCACCATTACCGGCATTGTATCGGGCGGGGCGGGGTGGGGCGGGGTGAGGTGGGGCCCCAACAGGGACCTAGCCGGGGCCGGGACTCCGTGTCGAGTTTGGCGGCAAACTTGGCCATTGTTCTGAGAGGAAAGTCCCCGTCTGCGCTGCGCCGGCCGGCCGGGCTTGTGAGAGCGGCAGCCGCCCCCTCCCCCTCCGTTTTCTTAATTTGCGTAAACTTTGCCTAAAAGCCCTAATAAACGAATCAGTTTGAATCCTTTTCTTCAGCCCGCGCCCCTCATCCCAGGTCCGGGGGTCTATGCTAGAACGCGGGGCAACTGAAATGGCAGCTGGCCTCCGCCTCTGATTAATGCCCCTAATGAGGAATAAATATGCCATGACATTAAAAGAGGACCGACCGAAGCTGTGGCAGGGCCGGCAGGCCCGCAGTGGGCTGCACTTTGGCTAACTTCCGGATTGACGGGAAGGGAAGTCCTATTCCGTGCGTGGGCAGGGCAAGTGAAGGTCGGCAGAAGGGCGAAGAGAAAGAATGAGACAAAGTTGTTTGAAAACATTTATAGGAAAACAATTGCACATGGCATAACCAGCAAATTCACATATAATACTGACTCTCCGAGAAGCTTTTGAATGCTAAGCACCTATGATGAGCTGGAGCTGCTTAGTGGATATATTTATTTGAGATCCAAATCATTTTGTTCACAGGCCACCTCACGAAAGGTAAAACGATAAAATCACAAAAAAGTAGGTAATGAAATATTAGTACATAATGGTTGGATGATCACTTATTCAACAATATTGAGCAAATGTATAACCTTAACATAAAAAATTAGAAACTACTTGGTAACCCATGACGGCCGTTGATTACAGAGAGGTCATTATGATAGACCAGGTGGCTGATTAATGAGGTATTTAGCCGATACGAAATCGGAAGGAAGAAGAAGCCCTGGAGCCAAACAAACCTTCAATTGTTCAATGAATTCGTCTGCTTAAAACCTGAACAATTGAAGGTTTGTTTGGCTCCAGGGCTTCTTCTTCCTTCCGATTTCGTATCGGCTAAATACCTCATACCGCACACTTTTAGAGCTAGACTGTACCGCATGCAGGCGGGTCACCTATCCCTATCCGGTCGGGGCCGTACACTCTAAATGTAAAGGGACAGTTATGTACCTAAAACCGTTACCTTTTATGGAACAAAATTGTCCCTTAACATCTAGAGTGTAAGCCGTCGTGGTCAGCGACGATCGTCAAACCCGTCCGCACGCTGCACAGTATGAGTACAAAAGTGCGCGGGGTTAAATCAGCCACCTGGTACGAAGAGCTTCTTGGAAATAATGATGATCATCACAGAAAGAAAGAAGGACTATCATAAGCTGAAAATGATCTCGTAGAATTAGTAGTGCTGTAAAACGGGAAAAGATTTAAAGCAATCAAACATCAGCTTTTACATTTCTGTACATACAAGGTGTTTCTTGAGCCAATTGACAGACTTTGGGGGTATCTAGAGGAGTGTTTTGATATGTAACACTTTGGATTCGCAGACGAATAGTTAAAAATGCAATTTTAAGTAAGCGCCCTGTCAGTAGGCAAAAATCTTCCGGAATGTGAGACAACGGTCCTGTGGCTGGAAGGGTGTTATCGAGGAGACAAGTCCTCATTCTACCTGAGCATTGTGTTATACGGGACAAGAGCGACGCGTTCTGCGAACTCCCTTTCTGACAAGGCCTACCCTTAGCCGTCCACAGAGGCTGTGTCACGCCCCAACCACCAGGCGCTCACTTCAAATATCGCACCTGCACCCAAAATGTCCTGCAACGTCAGAACATTCCTCTACGCATCCCCTACACGCTCCTCTAAAGTCAGCCTATTGGGCAAAAAAAAAAAGGTACACAGTAAAAAATTAAACTGTTGAGGTGTCAACAATATTGTTTAACAATATTGAAGAATGTAGGCCTTATGAAAATTACTTTAGACTTCTTGGCCGAAATGACTGCAAAGGACATGTTCCAAGTTGTCAGTCCCTTCATATAAATGTCTATAAAATTCAGAAGACAAAAAAGAATCTTACTCCTCTACACTGACTGGTGTCCCTCTGGGACTTGAACAAAATTGATTCTATTTCTTTGGCAATGTTGCACTGCACTCTTTACAACCCATCGATAGAAAATCAAAAGTTAAAGCAAGATAAACTTATCTATAACTTTTATTTAAATGAAAATAGATTTAAACTTTGGTGAATCGTTTGAGCATGGTTTGACTTCGTCATTGTAGATTGCTTGCCATTACAGATTCTTTAGAGAAGATTGCACAAACTAGACTGCACAAAAATAAAACCATTGTTAAATTTGTTTTGGGTAGTTAATTAACATCTCCTTCCCAATAATTTTTAAAAAATACATAACCCTGTTAAGTGGGATCCAGTCTTAGATAAAAAGCTCAGTAACTTTAATATTTTTTCCAAGCAAGTTATTTCCTAAAATGTATAAGTAAAAAAAGGCAATTTTACAACACTGATTTTTGAACTCTTACCTACTCAAGCAGTCCAACATATCACAAAGTCACATTTGATTGAAAAATTGTGTTGACTTACAATCACACAACAAATGGTCTACTGCATTTTCACACACAAAGGCACTTAAGATAAAGTTAGTTGCAGTCTCCAGGACATTTTGCTTCACACACTCTTCAAATTTTGGAATGAATAAAGTTCTGGGCAAAGTTAAGGAAAGAAACTTTCTTTTTAAAATAGAAATACTTAACATAAGTGATCACACCCAAAAATATGGCGAAGGAGAGGGAAAATTTAAGATTTTTACTACACGATGATATAAAAGGGCACTCAATGGAATATCCGCTCTTACGAATGTGGCCAAAAGTTTAGATCTTCTCAGGTTGCAGTAAGAATTTGTTGATCATCACAAGTTTCATTTGCTTCATTCGGTGGGGCATACCGTACTGTCTTGAAGCCTGAAAAAAATGTCAATAAGTAAATATTTGGATAATACAATAAAATGAAAACTGCAGTATTTTAACCATAGATGAAAACCTTAGATCCCCAATAATTTTACGCTTGAATATTATGTCACAGCTTACAATAAACCAACAAAAAGCTGCAGTCATTAAACATGCATGGTATGAGAGGATTTTACAAAGAGACTGAGAGTAAAGAAAAGTCAGGGGAACACCACATTACAAAACAGCGCAAAAGTAGGCATGCATACCTTGTACTATTTTATATACTAATTTGACCCCCTTATTTCAAAACGAAATGAGGGGTTGGGGACATGGCAAACAAACAAAAAAAACAACACATTGTGAACATGCCAATCCTGAATTTCAAATCTCAGCCTCATTGACACAGAGGCTCACTGACGTGTTATTGTTTTGTTTTGTTTTTTAAAATTATCTCTGCCGCCTATGGTGAAAACTTTTTAACCGATACAGGTAGGTACCATGTGTTTCTGTGCCCGCGCTGTAACACTGTAGGCACGTGCAAGGAAATACATTGTCTACATTCATCACAGAGTAATTTTTGCTTGGTCACACAAGATCAAAAGTACAAGCAGCATGCAATATCCTGGACAAACAAATTGGTCTCATTAACAAACCTCTCTAACTGCTCTTCATTATTGGCACGGTTCACACTACTCTCTGAAAATAAAGAGTAACGAGAGAAAGTGAAGTTTATATTTAGATAATTAAAAAAGATGAAAAATTGTTTTTGAAAAAAGGATATTACTTGTAATCTTAACAATCCTTTAAAAATCTATTTCTATCCAGATACGCATACAGTGTAAACTAGATTTGTTTTGCATTCAACAACACAGAAGAAAAATACAATGACAAATGACAAGTATCTGTAGCAGCCACTAAAGCAGCCAGTCACATACTTTCTTTAAGCGTAAAACATCAAAGAAGGATTTAGAAGAGTAGGCATAATTGTTATAAAATGCAGTGCGCAGCCAACACCATATAACATAACCTGGTTTCTCATAAAACACCATTTACCAATTTTACCAGAATACCAAATGTCATATATAGCTTCACCCAAAGTTAGTACTAGTTAGTTTAGACCCATCCTGAATGACCTGAAATTGTATACAAAATTAAGAGTTCATAATTTTGTAAAAATATACCATACCTTTATCTCTAGAAGGTGACGTGGGTTGTTTAGAAAGGTAGTGTTGGATTACAGCATGTAGTATTGCAAGCACAATAGAAAGCCCTCCAAATATTCCAAACATGACAGCACCAGAGTAGGCATAGAAAACTACACCTCCAATGAAGCTTCCTAAGGATACTCCTAAAACAATAGATGAAACAATCGGTGGTAAATATGTCTATGCATTTTAACAAGATAGTATGTTATACAACATTAAGAACTTACCAACTCCTTCAAATACAGCCCCAACAAGACCCTGAACAGTTGCTTCAGTGCCAGGCACTGATAAAATACTTGCATATGATGCCATAGTTGAATAGAACAGGCCAAATGTGACACCTTGGAGAAGCTCAATCGGTAGACACATCCAAGGGTTTGTTAGCACAGAGTATAGGATGAATCGAACACCAAAGGACAGTAAAACCAGTGTCATGACATGAATATGACCCAGACGTTTTATGATCCAGCCTAAATGAGAAGAGAACAGCTAATAATACATTGCTTGTAAAAAGAACATAATCAATGACACAAAATATTTTTGTTAAGAGTACCTGATAAAAAGAAGAATGGGAGCTCTCCCCCAAAGCACTGAACACCAGCAGCTAAGCCTTGCAAGGCTTTGATCCACTTCGTATCAACACCTGCTAAGTCTTCCAGGTGCCTAAAATAAACAGTTTCCAAAATGTTTACAAAAAAGGAATTACAGTTTCTTTAAAAAATTATGTAATTGGAATGAAGGGGCACCTACCAGAACAAGAACTGCCAGAGCATACCGGTATTAATACCAACAATAATACACCATGCAATGAATATAAGAATTCGTGCCTCAGAGAACATCAATCCCACATCGCGCAAGATATTTCTTGAAATATGAGTCTGACTATACTATAATAAGAAAGTAAATTTGAGATAAATGAGATGTTAACACAAAAATCAGTGGTCCATGGTGATAAACATTTTAAAAACAAACAAAGGTGCTTTACCTTCAACTGATAAGATACAACAATACTCAATAAAACATTAATTACGACAATGTAGAAGGCAATCGTGTAGTCTTTCTTGAATTTATCTTTGCTGAGTTCATCAACAAGAACACCAGCAATAAGAGTGAAGAGACCCCATCCCACAGCTCCCCACAGTCTCTGCTGACCATAATGGTTTGGCTTGTCACCTAGAAAGAAAAAACTACCTTGAACAATTGACCAATGAGCTATTTGTCTCTCATCATGATAGTAAATCTTGCTTACCTAACATGCCAAAGCAAATTGCATCCCCAACACTGCCAACCACAGCCATGCTACTCCAGGCAACAATAAGGAGAAGGAAGAAAAGCCAGAACTGATATGATAAAGCTGGAGAGTAATTATCATCAGCAGGTCTTGTAATGAGATCCATGACAGCAGAATTGTCACAAACAGCATTACACTGAAGCTTTTGCAAAGTGACATCACAATAAGGATTTAAAGGTTTGGCATTGGGTAAAATTGCATTATGAACCTTGAAGAAAGAACAATTTCCTTGCTGCGGAAATAAGTTAGACACAAGTTACTAGTTAAAGAAAGTACCAATCAATGTTTCAGTTATTTACTACTTAGCAAACTACCAAACATACCCTAACATAGTGAACCATAGGCAGTTCTGCAGTCATTTCTAATATTTTTGATCCAACAGGTATGGTTGGTGAGCCAGCCGGCAATGCTTCAGGATTTTTGCAATATCCATTGTTTACATGCCAATCAGAACAAAGGTCTTCGTAAAAGCTACTGTTATTCCCTATTTCACACTGGACCTAGAAATAGAACAATTGGTTAAGCATGAATTCTAGTTTTACCTCAACGAAACTTCCAAGTTTCAAAGGCATTGTAATTTTCAAAAGAAAACTAGACATTTAGACATACTTTACAGAGAACAGTGCCATTTTGTAAGGATGCTTTTTCAACACGGTCTATGGCAGCTGGATCAACATTGTTACACATTACTAGAAATGACTCTTGATGACAGTGAAACTCCACAGGAGACTTAGTGGGAACCTCAGGCAGAAATTGAATGGTGAAGAGAGCAATAGCAGACAAAAGCTGAAACAGATTCCAATTTGAAGTACAATGATGATTTAACAAAATGCATGAAAGAACATTTCTGCACTTACTTGGAACAACAAAAAAAGAAATTTCTGTTGCTTAAAGTAGTCTGAAATAGCTCCAAACAGTGGTTTAGAAAGCATTCCAAATATTGGTAACACCGCATATGTGTTTCCAACAACAAATGACGAAAATCCCAACTGTCTGGCATAAACAGGCAAGAAAGGGACTATCGGTGCTGATCCTGCATTAAACAGGAAATAGTGAGCCTTCATTGGCAAAAGATTCTTATCAACCGAAGGACATGCCATCTTGAAAGTAAAATTTTCAAGTCTTCTTGGTGAATTTTCCTGCAACAGATGATTAATTAGGTCAAAGTCCATTAACGCTTTATACATAATTCGCTAACTCTCAGTTGAAACATGTAATGACAACTGACAAGTAACTATTAAGTGAGACATAACTGATATGACTGATGGAGTCGATTGATAAGAAAATTAAGTGTCTTGAAGCGTGGTTACCTACTACAGTACAGAGTGTCTAATCGTGATAGAGGAGCCCATTTTCAATTCATGAGCATGAACATCTAGATAATGAATGACATATATCAGGGAACTCTGAAATTCAATTGTGCTTTAATTTACTTTATTTTTCATTTAAGAGCGAGAGAGTGTTAATCCTTTATCATCATTCCATCCAGATTTGGAATCATGTTACAGCTAGAGCACAGAGCACAGTAAAACCTTCACAAAGAATAGAACTCCACACAGTCACATCATATTGAATGAATAATTGGAGTAGCGGAAAATGCTTACCTTAACAACAAGGTAGCAGTACAACAAAGAGTAAAACCACAAGGTTCATCGAAAATTCGTACATTCCTTCATGCCGTCTAGGTTTTGTGCTTAAGCACTGCAAAGAAAAGAGGCTAAACGGACAAGGGCGAGGGGTAGCGAGGGGCGTAAAGTAAGAGTGAGAGGGGGAAGTTTTTGAAATGCGCCTTGTACAACGTAGTGATTTGAGTTAAGTCGACTATCATGACGTCATATCGGCTTCTCCGGTGTCGCCCGTTGGCCTCTTATCTGAAAAAAACGCCCCAAAAAAGTTGTCAATATACCCAAAAATCATCGTTGTCATTGCACAGTAAGCAAAATACCTCGTCTGCATCAATCAGTGGAGTGTGTCATTTACCGTAATCCCAACTCTTAGAATCTGGAAATTTTGCAATTTGCGTGAAATGGTTTTAGGTTATGGCTGAGTTGATGTGATAAACTTTTGACAGCATCTCAACCTCAAACCTAAAACCATCATGGCCCTAAATGGATTTGTGGAGTTTTTCCAGAAAGGCAAGGTACGAAATTCGTAGAACTATGATGATTTAATTTCAAACAAAAGCAGTTCACCAACGCTCCTTGACAGATGTGACTAAAATCCAATATTTTATCCTTTGATCTTTTCCAGACATTTAGACCAAAGAAAAAGTTTTCACCTGGTACGCTGCGCTATTCCCTGTATAAGCAAGCCCAAGCCTCACTCAACTCTGGTATTAATTTGAGAGCCGTAGTGAAACTTCCACCTGGGGAAGAAATCAATGATTGGATTGCTGTTCATGGTGTGTTTCATCACAGTTAGTTTAGTTCAAATGTAATTGTTGCTTTGTCTTCACATGCTTACATGATTTTGATATTGTAATTTAAATCTGATTTTGTCTGTTCTAGTCGTCGACTTCTTTAATCGTATCAATTTAATATATGGAACAGTAGCAGAATACTGTTTGGAAACATCATGTCCAACAATGTCTGGTGGACCAAAGTTTGAGTACCTCTGGGCAGATGGTAACAAGTACAAGAAGCCCACTCCCTTACCAGCTCCGCAATATGTTTCCTTACTTATGGACTGGATTGAGACACAAATCAATAATGAAAACTTATTTCCTGTCTCCACAGGTAAGTTGTATTGAATAATCTAATAATGTAATCAGTGTGCAATAATTTTACTGTAACTGTCTTACACGTTTCTTTGCAGATATACCTTTCCCGAAAACTTTCCTAGCTTTGTGCAGGAAAATTCTTACAAGACTCTTCAGAGTCTTCGTTCATGTGTACATACACCATTTTGACAGAATAGTTGCAATTGGAGCAGTGAGTATCCTATTCACAATTAACTCTTCCACATTCAACTTATTAAATCTAATGTTCTGATATCTCTCTTCCTTAGGAACCTCACGTTAATACATGTTATAAACATTTTTACTATTTTATCCGTGAGTTCGATCTTGTAGGCCCTAGAGAACTTGAACCTCTGCAAGAAATGACTTCAAGGATTTGTCATGATCCTTCTCCCTCTCCTGAGCCTGGCTCACAGACCTCAACCACTCAGTAGGTTACTGTGATATTTTTAATGTTCACCTTTAAATAAATTTAAAATACTCCCCTGTATTGTCTAAATTGCTTATGAAATTAAATTTCAAGCTTTTATGTTTACAAAAGATTTTCCAATGTAATTCTTGGCAGAATCAATGTGCAAGTGTGATTTTTATTTGCCAATTCCTGTAGTTTGATTGCATTTGGACAAATACTAACTGGAAAGACCAAGGTAGGACTAAATGCCTCATAGGTACTAAAATCTTCCAAATGTACAGAAAGGTACTGGTTCTGAGTCCTACTTTTGTTTTTCTGGTCTTTATGTCATGGGTTTTTATCGGTATAAATATTTCTGTAGCCTTGCATCAGTATCACTTAAAGTGAAGAATTCAAAATGATAATTCTTAAAACTATAAGTTTTGAAGTTTGTTAGTTTTTTTTTTTTTTTTTTCTTTATAAAATAGCAAAATGATGTTATATAAGCTGGTTTCAGCTCTCTATAATTATGTTTATTATTTATTTGGCACCAAATTGGTTTAGAAGACCTTCAGCTCAACATGTGACACACCTATGTTGTAATGGTATTTTAAGAAAGGCTTTGATTGGTAAAATCCTATAGTCATACTATACTTTCATAAAATATTTAGTGAAAGGTGACTAATAAATTCCGAGTGTTTATGGGGATACAGGTTTTTTATTCTATCTTGACAACAAATATGGATTGTGAGAACGTTTACTGATGCCAAAGTACAACAGGCTATGTGCCAAGTTACCATATTATTTATCTTATTCTATCATTGTTTGTAAAGTTGTGTTTTGTGCATAGTAATTAAGGTTGTAATTTGTTTATAGCCTTAATTATAGCTTTTGGTGATATTTATCATAACATTGTCTTCAATGCTTTATCTCTCAGTGTCATACACTGGTTTACCACGGTGTCATAACTTATGGATTTTTTGGGTGCTTCATTTTTTCCACAATGAACTGAAATGTGTGTCCATGACATAATTGAATGACATATTAAATGAAATGACCTGTGCCAATTATACTGTATGTCTTTTCAGCACACTGAAAAGAAATGTTAATTTTGAGACAGAATTTTCTGAGGTTTTGAATGAATATTGATTTGATTGATTACAAATGCCATGCTCGGACTTTAACAATTTTCTGTGTTCTGTTTTTATGAAATATTGCTGTCTACATTTTAATTTTTAATACTGGTTCTTATTTTTAAAGGGTCTTATTTTTTTTTATCTTCTTTTTTCAATTGTAATGCATGAAACTGCTCTTTCCTTGGTAGTAGCTGTGTTTAAGTTGTTGTATACCTCTCCACTATTATGATTTTAAATCATGTTGAATCCAACATGACTATTCATATGGTTATGCTGGGCAGTAGAACTTCCACTCTTGTACCATTCACCAGACTCAGCATGATAAACCATGTTTGTTTTAATTGCAAGGTATTATTTTGGGTAATGTGTTGTGAATGGGGTTCAATCCCTCAGTGATTTAAGTTAAGGTGAATGTATTAATCTTCTATCTTACCTATCATTGGAAAAATTCTCAAGTCATATAGTGCCCCTATTATAAGACTTAGAGGCCATTATTGAGGCCATTGAGGCTTGTCTCAACTGCTTGGACTTTTGTTTAAATGAATTCTATTGTAAGACGCAAACTCTTCAAAAATGTGGTTTGACATCTTACGTTTGTAAACGTTTAAGTCATGTTGCATTTTTTAAAAACAGATTGTATTGCAAAGTTTTGCTGAAAAATTAACTGATAAACTGTTTTGTTGTGGCTTTAATAAAAGTGAATGTATATTCCTGGTGAATATTGCATTTTCACTCAATGGCTAACCAAACCATCCTGATTGCTAACACTACAACGGATGGGGGGGAGGGGGAAGACGGCCGGCCGTCGGGCCCGCGGCCCACGACGACGCGTCTCGCGGCTCACGCGATTCGGTCGATGCGGTCGCGGTCAGTCCGAGAGATGGCGTTGGGCCCGAAAGAGGCCCGCGGAGCCGCTGCCATCACTTCCCAGTAGCCGTGCGAGTGCGCGGTAGGACGAACGCGGACAACGGACTAGAGACATGGATTCCTCCAAGCGGGTGGGGAACCCCAACCCCAGGGATTCAGCCAGCGTCGTATCGAAGCTGTTCAACTTGTGAGTACCTTCCGTTCGGGATGACAACCCGTCCGTCCTTGCGGTTGAGGCAGCCTGACAGTCGCTGTACCGCCGGGGGGGCCGCGGCCACGAAGGCCTTGGAGTGGCATTGACGCCAGAACAGTGCCGTTTGAGTGTCATGAATCATTATTTGGCCCTTATCACAGCTAAAACTTGGACTTATTCTCGGTCAGAAGCCCCCCCGATGCATGCTACCCCCGTAAACCTAACCTGTACATTCACGCTGAATCCTTCGCCGGCACAGCGGTCGGCCAGTGCTCGGACGTGGCTCCGGCACGCGGAAACACGTAAATACTTTTGGAGCTGAGGCGACTGGGATCTGGCAGCTCGCGGCGTCTACTTTCAGCGGATGTTCTGGTCCAGTTTCTTGGTTAAGGCAGCCCTAGGCTTACTTGAGGACCCGAGGGGGGCGAGGCGACTGACGTCCGTGAGCGAACGTGAGGTCGGAGAGGGAGGGGGTAGGTGCAGCGGGAGGGGAGGGGGAGGCAGAGGGGAGTGTTGGCGTGACCGGGCGGGACCCCCCAAAACATGCCGGGGTTCTGGCCACTCGAAGAAAGAGGGAGAGGAGGAGGGTATTAGACATTGACAGCCTCTTCATCCCCCTTTTAAGACAACACTCCCGACGAAACAGCCCCCCGTTTCTTTGCCTGACGATTGTTCGCGGCGAGGCCCTATAAACCGCCCTTCACCCTCTTGTCTTACGCGTGACCCTGAAACACTGGTGCAACAATAAACCGCTGCGTAATTCCTCGAATCGGTGAGGAAGCCGGCGTAAAGTCAAAGCATAATCTCGATCGTTATCGCGACCCCACTCGACGCACCGCGGCGGCGTCTCTCTCCGCCCGCCACGCGCCCAAAGTAAACTGTTGTGCCCGGGCACACATGGCGCTGTTTGCATCGGGATCCGGTCGGGATCGCATTGCCGCCGCGCCCCCGTGGAATAAGGGAAATTTCCCCCCGTCAAGCTCCGCCGCGGGGATTCTGCTGCTATTGCTGCTATCCTTGCCCTCTATTGCCTCTATCGACACACGCGCTGCTGCCGTCTGCAGGTGCAGTCCGTGGGGGGCGTGTGTGCTGCGGATAGAGACCGGTCTGGACGCGTGCCAGAGCGCAGCGCGTGCCAGCTCAGCGCGGCGGGCGGCGGCGGCGCATCGCGGCCGGGCCGGTGACCACGTGCGATACAGTAACGAGCTGCCCGACAAACGGGCGATAGCGAAGCCCATATCGTGTATCACTCCAGGGATTTGCCAATATCGCTCCAGCAGCAAGTGCACTGACTCGACGCTTTTTCGTTGCACTATCTGGGAGCTAAACGTAGCATCCCAGGTAAAGGAAATTTAGAGCACAGCAACTCAAAGGCAGGGCTGGGCAGGGCACTATCTCATTTCGAGCTGGGACAAAAGTCGGGAGCATTAGACGAACGTTTAGTGCGCGGGAAGAAATATTTTTCTCAGTGCGAAAATAAAAATAAAACAAACCCGCGGGGCCCGCGGGCGCGCGCGTTGTCGGCTCGCACTATAACTTGACACTCGCAGAACGTTTTAAGATAAAGATACAGTGTACTCCAGCTAAACAGAGGAAGAAGGATGGTGGGCATAGAGGTAAAAGGTGTTTGACCAATCAGGAACGTTCATGTTCTTCCCGTTCGTTTTCTGATTCTGTTAGCCGAAAGTACACACGGAGCAAACAGCGCCCCGGGCCATGGGTGCCCTCTGCGCAGGCGCGTCTTGGTGGGACAGTGTTTTGCCCGAAGCCTCTGTTACGCCTGACGCTAGTAGTCTGACGCACGTCTACAGTGGGAGAAACAAACGCGGTGTTTCTCCCCCCGCAACTATGTGTGCAGTATCGTAAACATTTCAATTTAATTTGATAAGATGGTCGGTGGGTGATTCACGCCGTCGTCGTCGTGGGGTTCGGCCCCGGTGACGGCCGGGGTGACATCGTCCGCGGCCTTGGGTGGCCTTGGCGGCTCAGGACCCCGGCGGCTAAACCCCAGCCGCCCCAAACACCGCCCGGCCCGGTCCGGCCCGCCGCGGCCGAGGACACGCCGCGCGTCGGTCGATAGCAAAACGCATCCCTCGGTGCCGTCACGGAACAAAGCCCGAGCGTTTGGGCCCCCCAAAACACCATCCCCGTCCTTTATATCTGTCGTCACACGGCGAATTTTTTAGCTGCACCTCTCCGTTTATGGTCTGCGACAACGGGTCAGTGGCCGGGTAGCCGTACACACACGGGTGGTGAGAGGGGTGCCCCCGATGCACTGGCGGCTGGGCAGTACCATATTGTCACCGCACTTATAGTGATGTCTCTTTGGCGTGCTCTTCAGCAGGTGTTCGATAATCGATCGGCAGGGCGCGAGAGGACCCCCCCGGCCGCTCGCGCTCGGCACTTGTAGTGTCCTTAAGATGTTTCGTTCTTCGTTGGCGGGTATGTCCAACCCGGGCCTGGTATGGGTTGAGGTCTTTCGGATTAGCTGCAAGAGCTCTGCAGCAGTGCACCCGAGTGCAGCGCTCGATGGCTGCTACTGCTTTTCATTATTTTTTTTTCTGGGTTAAGGTGGTGGCCCAGCCCAGCAGAGCTGACTGACCAAGGTTAGTCGTGACCCAGCCGCACGAAAAAAATTAAAATGTTGAAGCATCAGCGTCAACGTTTGTCATACTGCGACCCGAATCCAACCGCTGGCGTTCACACTGGCGTGCGCCAGACGCGGGTCCCATCCCGACGACGTGCCTAGCCGATTGGCTCAATTGCTTTGCTAGCCACGCGAAGCGAGTCGCGGCTTGCTGGGCGAGGCGGGCGTGGCTTGTCGGCGTCATGCAGCACATCTCCATTGACTGGCCGGCATGGGGGGGGGCTGTCGCTGTCAGTCATGAGTGACCACCCGCCACACTGTTGCACCAGCGCCGCAGCGGCAGTCGCGAGAAGAAGAAGTTTTCAGCAGTATGATTCTGGTAAAATAAAGAATCGGTCATTTGACGTCCGTTGTTTTTGTCAATTTAACATTTTCTTTGCGGAAGAAACTAGCCCCGATAGCGATAAGCAGCGACGTCAACGGCCTTGACTTGAGAGCACCATACACAAATGACCTTTACATTTTTGGCGTGGTCGCCCGACGGCGGGCCCCGCTCCTCGGGGGCACGTACGCTCAGGCAGGCTCAGATCCTGACTTCAAGTTGCGGTAAAGCGTTTGGAGAAACCGGCACGAGACCGGCCAGCTTTGCATCGCTCTCTCGCCCAACGCGTGGCGGCACCAAAAAGAATCGGTAAATAATAAAGTAGCGTTGTTGTCCGCATGCACACCCCTTTGGCCTGCGCGGCGGGTTCTCGTGCTGGTTCACGAGGCCCTGCGACCGAGGGGTTCTTCACTCAAAAAAATCAGTGTACATCCTTAGAAAATCACGAAAAAATCAGAAAAAAACATTTAAAAAATCATTTAAAAATCACAGAAAAATCAGAAAAAATCATCGTAAAGTCAGAAAAAAAACTGAAAAAAATCAGAAAAAATCAAGAAAAACAGAAAAATTGGTGTACGCTAGAGTTTATTGTGAAGGACCCCTCGCCTGCGCCACCCTCACGCGGCTGCCGATCGTAGACACTGGCAGCAGTGCCCGGTCCGGTCTCCAATGTCATCTAGCGCCGTTAGTGTCATGTGGGGGACATGCGATAGCCTCCCTCGTTCGCCCGGCCCGGCCAGAGGCCCGGCCCGTCCCTGACCCACGAGAGATCGCCCTGAGGACGGCCCTGCCCGTGGAGGGTATGGGTATGGGCCACCCGCGGGCCGGGCGTTCCGGGTGTTATCCTCACGGGCGTGGACGCAGCCGTGGCAGCAGGATCTGCCGAAATCCGGTTCCACTACGTCCGTTACGTACCGCAATGGGCCCCGTGTCCCGTGTCAAGCTGTCGCCGGAGTCCAGACGGTTAGAGCTGCTGAGGGCGTGTATTATGGTATTCCGTGGAGACGAAACTCGTGGAACCGGAAGGAGGACATCATAGATGGTTGGAATTTAATGCTAGTTTCGCTAATTAATTTCGAAATAACTGCCCAGTCGTACCCACCCTCGTAGCGCAGTTTGGAGCTGTTTGCCATTGTTTCGGTCCCTGCATCCCAGCCATATCTATGATCCCAACCGCTGAGTGGAGGGGGTGGGGGAGTGTGCTTCAGGATTCTATACGCGAGCCGGCGATAGCGAGCCGGCGGGCCGGGTGTGGTGGCCACAGCGTGCACCGAGTGTATCAGAGAATACGCCGCACTGCTGCGGGTTGTGCGGTCTGTCGTCGGCCATGCAGCAGGGGCCACATGCACCGCTGGGGTCGCCCACAAGATGCGTCTGTTTTTCTCAGATTCATTCGGCAAGTCACTCTGGTGCAGGGCGCCTGCGATACTCGGGGTAGGCCACCCTGCAATACAGCCATGCACTACATGCGAGATATTGCCTACCCACCAGGCGCTATGAGAGCTTTGCAGAGTCTGAGCTAGTCAGTTTCATTTTCGTGACGGCGAATTACAGGAGAACACTTTCTAGATGATCCTTTTAGGGGCCGTATCCATACCACGTAAATTTTAGGGGGGGGGCAAATATTTGGGGGTTCCAAAAGGGTCACGAACATCACTGGAGTCCACAGGCAGGCAGTCCATAAGCAGACCGGCAACCCCGGACCGTATTCTCTGGGTGTAGGTACTCTCGGTAAACACACGTGCAACGCGTGCTCCTGGAAGTAATGCACACGAACACACTGATAGCGCGGCGTTTTCGTTTGTGCTGAGCTTCGCGGAAGACGCGCTCGTCGCGGTCGCGGTGGACTCTAGCAGCGCGTTGGAAAAGGGGTTTAAGGGTGGGGGGAGGGGGGGCGTTCGCGGCGGTCGTGACGTTGCCACAGCACAACCTGCAGCTCTGCACCAGGCCGGCCAGCACGCCGCGTCCCCCCCCCCCGCACCTTCCCCAACCAAGCCCGCGTGATGCTCTCCGGCTGTTCTAACAGCACCGGGGGCCGGCCGGCCGGCGGCGGCCCTTTGGCTCGCATTGGCACATTGGCGCCCACGCCGCGCTCGCCCGCCCACCCACCAGATAAGAGATTGTGCCCACATGTCCTAGGCGCAGGGGGAGGGGGGTACAAACTTATACTACGGGGTACCCAAAACGATTAGATTTGAACTGCTTGGGTTATCCTGAACCCCATAGTGGACCATAGTATTTGTACCCCCCACCCCCACCCCCCCTTGTGCAGGACGCCTATGATGAGGGGAGGGGAGGCGGCTAGCATGCGTGTGACGCTGCCATGAGAACTCATGATGACGGCTCGCGGCCCGGCACATCTCTGGCCGGCTCGGCTCGGCTCGGCCCGCGAACAGCACAACACTGCCATGGACGCTTCGCGCCCGTTGGCGTTGGCCACCATCCGGCCGAAGCGGCGCGTCCTTGGGCGGGAGGAGGCGACGCGGCGGGGCGGGGCGGGGCGGGGCGTGTGGTTATATTGCGTGTAGCGCGGACAGGGCCGGCTTCCCGGACTCGTGACCGCGCGTTCCTCCTCAAATAACTCCGCGTCCCGCGCGCCCCTTGCTTGCCGCGAGTGTTTATTGGGCCCGAAATGAACGCGCGTCTCCTCTGTCTCCCCGCGCCCCGCGCACTAATGATGCCCGCCCCTCCCCCATCTCCTCCTCCTTCCTTGACCCCCGAAATGTTGCGACTGTTGGCTCTCGTTTTGCCGGTTGATGCTGAAGTGCCGAGTCACCCACCGCTTCGCCGCGTGCGGGCTGCGGCGGGCTGCGGGCGGCGCCCCGCCACGCGACGCCGCACCACGCCTATGGCCACGCTCGCTCGTGAGTGCCGCCGTCGTACGGACTCCAATAAAATATGGTGTTCCATCAGCACCCCATGGTTTACCTCCACAGTCAAAAATACGGGACTATGGGATTGTGACCTTATATATATGTGGCAGCACATGTCCCTGTCGAGCTGTTCCCAGAACTGCGCTCGTGACACGACCACATTTGCCTCCAAAATGTTGCGCAAGTTTCTGGGATCGCTTTTAAAAACTGGTCGCGCGGGACCAGCCCCCCGTGGTCGCGCGTGTCGTCGGGCCCTAATAAATCGCGCTGGCTTTGTTTCCTGCCCTGGAGCGAGCGTCGGCCGGCGGCGGGACTGCAACTCCAGGGGCTCCTGGGCGCGGGGAGGGAAGCCCCCCGGGCCGGGCGGTCGGCCTGTTGCGCTCCCTTGCACCGGCCGGGTGAGGCTGGCGTGGCGCGAGGCACCGCCACCGCCGCGGCTGCGCCAGGCCGGAAGTCAGGGGATACATACACACAGACACGGCCGTAAAACAGAGGTTTACCGTGTGCACACTGGGGCGACGTCGCATCGTTGCTTTGGGGCTTGCACTGTCGTATTTCGAGGACGCGGCCGGCATGCTCAAGGCATTCGGATGCTGTGGCGTTTTGGGCGGGGAGCGGGAGCCGATGGGGACAGGACAGGGCCTCGCGCCAGGGGATCCACTGGGGCTGGGGACCACGTGACGAGCCGGCTGTATGTAAATCAGAGCAGTATGTGTTGCGAGTTCGAGGCGTCTATCATTGTGTCTTTGGGGCCCGCCCGGAGGGGGGG